TGTGTTGTGTTCCTGCACAAGACACTTGATTCTCACAGTGCCTTTTCTTCATCCTGGAGTACAAATGGGTACCAACAAACTTTCACTGCAGCCTGATAAAAGGCTTTGACGTAACCTGCCTCACACCCAGAGGGAGAGAAACTCTTGTAGTCATTTAATGCTATGGAAACTGTGGTGGACTCCATTAGTTCGTCAGGACCAGTACAACTTTACCAAAGTTACTATTGAAACTACTTATTAACTGAAAGCGAGGTCTTAATGGGAAAATCTGAAACCAAGACCTTGCTGTATTGAGCGAGCAAGATAGCAAGGTCAATAAGGCAAAGTCAAAAATTGAGATTTTCCTGTAAAGACTGAGTGTCCGAGGTTAATAAGTTGTTTATTACAGGGATGGATCTAGAGGGAGAGTGCAGGGGGTGCGCACACCCCTCCCCCCCTTGAGATAAAGCCTTCTCCTTCATATTCACTTATTAAATTTGTTTACCTTACCAGTCAGTTTCGCCATTCCTTGGTGGTGCACCCCCTCCTAAGAAAAATCCTGGATTTACCCCTGTATTATATGGCTTTTTGCTTTGTTTTGGCAGGCCCATAATCGGCCCCCGGGCTTTACAGGAGAATAATGCCCTAGAATTAGCCAATCAGAGCGCATGTTATATCCGCTACTAATACTATCCATATAATAAATATATACCATAAAACATTCTTAGGTTGATTGTTTCTAACCTATTGTCACACTGGCTGAACTTAGTTCATTTGGCTGGTTTTTTTTTTTTGCAGCTGCTTAAGAATAAGTGTCCAGTGAATGGAATCAACAATCATGGAAACACACCTCTTCATTATGCATGTTTTTGGAACTCTGAGACCTGCGCTGAGGTAATGCAGTAATTCTACAATCATGGTACAGTAAAACCTCGATATAATGAAGGGTCAAGGGACTGGCAAACTATGTCCGCTATTACAAGGTTTTTGTTGTATGAGGGTTCTTTTCCATATCACTATTGCTGGGGCAGAGAATTATTAATACTATTTGTTATACCAAGGACGTCGTTAAATAAAGGTTTGTTAAATCAAGGTTCCACTGCACATAAAACAGGAACTCTGACTTACTACTCTTTGTCTCATTTCTGCAAGAGAACAGTTAGTTGCCATTCAGACAGTTACTCCACTAAAACTGCATCCGCAAACAAGGTGACACCTCCTGTTTAAGGGGGCTCACCAGTACCAGTATAGCATTCGCCAGAGGACAACACCTGAGGTCTCAAATAAGACTACACTCAGACAGTCCTTGAGGTATCCTCTAATAATAGTTAGGACCATAGCTGACTTTTGTTATGTTGTTCATATATTTATAGGAACTTGTCAAACGGGGTGCCTTGGTATCACAGTGTAATAGGTATGGAGAGACTCCACTTGATAAGTGCAAACCCTACTTGGCAGAAATTTTAAGAGGTAAGAAAACAAAATTGTGTGTAAAGTGTATAATATATTCTTGCTGTCAGGCACATTTGAATATTTCACAGAAAATGCACCAGTTTGATATTACAGTGGAACCCCACCTTACAGTCACCCCCGCTTATAAGACCACCTCATTATTACGGCCATGTTATTCCGGCCTTAACAAAAGCTCAGTCTTTCATTTCGTATTTAAAGAACCCCTTTAACTATGGCCACCCCATCAATACGGCCAGATTTTTGTGGCCCATTGGTGACCAGATTAACGGGGTTCCACCTTATTAGGTAAACTAAATTTGTTACTAAATAAATTCTTTGTATTATTATTGGCTATAATACCTAATGTTAGCTTTTCAGTGCACTTTGTTGGTGTAATGGCCATGTTAGGTCGTGCCAAACTACTCCTGAGATGAAATAGAACGAGATCAAACAAGCTTGATATATATATGGTTGAAATGCTGCATGCCATAAAGCATAACATAATGGTTCGATTAGGTATTTACTGTACCCAAATTTTCCCAGAAATTCAGCTATTCAGAGACACTATACTAGATCATTGTAGAGCCGTTTGATATGGATCAAATTTCAGACATAACTCTCTGAGAGAGGAGAGAGGCTGCTTGAAACAAACTTGTAAAGAGAGAGAGTTGATTACTGAATTAAGGTGACTGCCTACTTTCTCATCACCTCCATTTTCTATTGACATTACATATCAGAACACAATGTACCAACAGAGAGATGTAATTATGCAATGGGTGGCAAGCATTTAAACTTGCTTGAGATATGCATCATGCAGGAAGATACAGAACAATGTTGCTATTAAATATTATGTTCTGTTCCATAGATCTGGCTGCACAACTTGGGCAAGACCTTAAAAGAATACCATATAAAGGTGATTAACAAAGTCAATATTACCAGAAATCTGATTTCTCTATTCACACAAAACAAAAGAACCAAGCTTGGACCATGATCTAATTGAGTTCTTCTTATTTTAGCAAACACTTCTAATAAGTTCATGCTGAGAGCCTTAACACAAGGGCATTTTTATGTTTTGGTGATATGGTGTCGTTCCAGATACCACTCTTTTTTTACTGAGAACTAAATTAGAAAGTTCTGGATGATATTTTTGTGATACCGCTTAAAGAGCATCCAATATAGCCTTGTCACCTCCACTAATGTGTGCTTGAGTATGGTAAAAAGAAGCTTAATACTAAGTAGGTGCCTAGAAAAACAATTTAACAGTGTTTCTTATTTAATCCATTCCATACAAACCTTGCTCCTAAAAATATTAAATACGTTAATCACAACTACAGTGATTAGAGTGTTGATAAATGAAACTTTCTACACTGCTGTCCTACTTAGAATTGATATAATCATCTGCCATGTGGTGGACATACATGTAGATGCAGTGGCTGATTTTGTTTATAAATAATGCACAGTAATGTCAGAAATCGTTTTATATTCTAGATCATCATTCAAAGTTGGGCAGAAAAGATGGTAGGGTGTTTTGTACAATGTTTGTCTTTTTTTAACTTGAGGTGCTTGTCATATGTCTCTTGAATTCTTTGCATTTCAATCAAGTTTCTCACTGATGATATTATGAGTCAAAAACCTGTTGACCCTCTTGATACTGTCATGAAGAAGTTTGAAAGTGACTGCTTGATTGTGTTTATTGCATTATGCTCTAACTTAGGGTTTCTTTCATTAAACAACAGTAAGAAGTGAAAATGTATCATGAGAACCTGAATCACACTGTACTGACAGCCTGGTGAAAAAAGGGTGTGCGTAAAGTGTGAGTCAGCGAGCCATGCAAGCCAACATGCAAGCCATTCAATTTAGTCTAAATAACTGTCTGGTTAGCTTATTTATAGAACCTGGTTAGCTTATAGCTTCCAAGAATAGTGTTCTGTAGTTATCTTGCAGTTAGCCTTAAAACCAGTAAAAATTATTGGTTCACGTGACCCCAGGCATGGCTTGCTTGCAGGTTAGCTGGTTAGTTCTAAATAACACTCCTTTTAGCCAAAATAGCACTCTGTTAAGTAATAGCACTCTGGTTAAGTTAGCTAGCATGACTCACTTGCTCGTCTATTGTCTACCCTCTGTCAAAAATATTAATTCTCTGTAAACAGCTGTTTCAGTAGTATTTGAGAATTGTTTGAGTTTAACAGCTACTTCCAGCTAATTCTGAAAATTATTTCATTTTTCCCCTTTGATTTAAATCTTACTAATACTCTCTCAGTAATAGCTATGAACTTATGTTTCTTTACCCATCATTTTTAAGATTTACGGGATATCAAGTCAAGACTTTCATGGATCCAGCCACAGGAGATTGACTTGACAAACAAGATAGGCAAAACTGTTACTGGAGAGGTACGGGCTTAAATTAAATAACTCTTCCACTTGGGAGTTTCCATAAGAACCTAAAGACTTGACAAATGTACGTTTGAATACAGTCCCTAACTTATATGTTGTTGCATGGGATGTTTGCTTTAATAAAATTGTGTTTTCATTTACTTATTATTGTAGCTAGTAACATTAGGCTCATAAAGAAGCTAGAAGTCCACTTAAATTATTTTGTTGTGTTGTATGTACTTTTTCAGGTTTGGAAAGGAAAGTGGAATGACCTCAATATTATTGGGAAAAAACTTGCAATAAAAATTGTCAACAAAAGAATATCCAGAGACTTCAGTGAAGAATACTCAAAATTAAGGTAATGCTTTCTGTCATAATGAGATAACAGTTAATGAATGCCATTATTATATGGCTAGCTCTGTGACTGGAGAAGATGAACTGAATCCTGTGCTGTCTGTGATTGGCTATCTGAGAGGGCAAAATGGCACTCTCTTGCCTGCTCGGACTAACCCCTGTGTCCCGCAAGAAAACACTCTTCTTTTTCCATATAATAAATCTTTTATTGGTCAAGCTTGCGCAGTCAAGATGGCTCGATATTGGCCTCGTTCTTTTTGGGTTTTTTTGCATGTCCATAAACATGCTAAAAAATACTTGCCCAACATCCAGCCATTTTGACCTCAGGCTTGCTCAATAACCCACATCTATTGTTATCATTTACATATCATTGTTTTGAAAATTAAAAGGGGAAGAAACTAAAATAGACCAATTTAAATTGTTTGATGTACGAAACTTAGTTCTACAGGTTCCACAAATTAATACCTTAGGAAGATCATAATTAGCATTTTATCAAGACTTTTTGTAGTTATATCCATATTGGTGTATTATTTTATCCAAATTATTGTTTTGTGTGTCATCGGAAAGAGAAGTTTAAAACACATCACTGCTTGAATTAAAAAATTTAAACATGAAATCTCAGTATTCTAGTTATCAATGCTGTTTATATAGACTGAAATTCTTTTGATTTCCAGAATATTTTCCCATCCAAATGTTTTACCTGTAATTGGTGCAGTCAATGACTCCAAGCACTTGATAGTGCTTTCACAGTACCTCCCATTTGGCTCACTTTACAATGTCTTACACGAAGGAACAGGTGAGTGGGAAGCAAATAATTTTTCGTTCACACTCCCTGACTCCTCCCTGAACGCCTTTCGCAAACAGATAGTAATCAAGCCTATCTCTTGATTGAACTCTATAAGAACCAACTATGCTTAACAGAAATCTCTCCTTGTGTGCTTGGTTCTTCTCCTGCTCAGTTGTCTCCTGAGTCAAGGGACAAATTTAATTATCGAGATTTGACACAAAAAGAACAAGCTGAGAACAGTAGATCAATAGACATCCATGATGTGTATCTGATACATTTCTTGCTAGGTTTTGAATTTTGAACATAGCACAGGGACCCTAAGGGAGGCGCGGTGGCCGCATGGTCAGTACGCTCGTCCTCGGAGCCAGCGGTCCGGGTTCGAGCCCTGGCCAGGGACACAGTTTTGTGTTCTTGGGCAAGACACTTAACTCTCACAGTGCCTCTCTCCACCCAGGAGTATAAATGTGTACCGGCGAATTGTTGGGGAAACCTAACAAATTGCGGGGGAGTGACCTGTGATGGACTAGCATCCTGTCCAGGGGGAGTAGAAACACTCCTAGCCACTTCATGCTACAGAAATCGGGATAAGCTCCAGCAGCTATGAGCCATCGGCTCTAAGGCTTCACTTTTACAGGGACCCTAGCAACAAGGTGACACCAGCCAGGCTTGAAACAAAACTTCTTTCACGCCTTCCAGTAGGTGCCACTTCTTCCCAGACCCAGAATTAACAGTACATCTGTATCATAATTCTGACAGGTATTATTGTGGATCATGAGCAAGGCATGAAGTTTGCATTAGATATTGCCAAGGGAATGGAATACCTTCATTCTTTAGATCAGCTTATTCCAAGACTGTATCTGAAAAGTACACACATCATGGTAAGTATAAACTTGTCTAATAACTTTGGGTTTTGTGATCATACACTGTCCATTTGTTTTTCCCTTGCAACATAAATGAAGATAAACAAATGTGACAGCAATCACAATGGGAAACATTGTTAGTATTTTCTGAATCAACTGCTACAGCCAGTTGCAAAAGTAGTTGAGACATCCTACCTTAACAAGAGACAATTCTTCACTGCACCATCTCATGTAATTCCCCCCACCTCTAGTTTCCAATATTGTAGTTAAGCAATATCATGTACACAACATACATGAACAACATTGAATGGGGGCTGATTGTTATTTTGTGACAATTTTGTTATTTGTGATCCAGTTAAGGAAGTTAGGCCTTTTTTGTAATAAAGTGTATCTTTCAATGCTACATCCCTTGCTCTGTGGAAGGTCACTGGAAATTCTAAGAGAGTGGGTATCTCAAAAGCCAAACTTTGTATAGGGAAGTATAAGGCTTAACTAGACTTTTTGAAATGGTTGGAGGGCTTAAAATGGAAGAGATGTTCATGTGGTAGGGTACGAGTACATGCATTTACACTTGCAAGTTACTCAATTTTCTAAATGAGTGAGAGATGTGCTATTAATTACTATATTCAAGTATGTTTTGTAAGCCCCAATACTAGGACTTGTGTAGCTGGTTATTAAATATGAAATATTTATCACCTTTTGTGTTCTAGATTGATGATGACCTAACAGCAAGAGTCAGCATGGCTGATTATAGATTTTCCTTCATGAATCTTAGCAAAATTGAAAGCCCTAACTGGATGGCTCCAGAAGGTTAACCATGTACTATTGTATTATCAGAACGTTATAACCCCTTTTACTGACTTCACAGAGCAATCAAATTGTGTTTTGTTTATTTGAAATTTCGTAATTTTCCACTACTTGCATATTTTTGTCTCATGCAAATTTGGTAACATGTGTTCTTTATAGTTCTTCAAAAAAGCCCTGAGGAAGTTGATCAGCGTTCAGCGGACATGTGGAGTTATGCAATGATCCTTTGGGAGCTTGTCACAAGAGAAGTGCCTTTTGGACACTTGTCGCCAATGGAAGTCGGCATGAAGGTAATAGGGTGATACACTTTTGAATTAACAGTATTAGAGACAAGGATGCAGAACTAATGTCTTGCCTAACAACACAACACAATGTCCCCA